GCGGAGGGGCTGCTCGGGCTAGGGCGGGCACGGGGGGGAGCGAGGACCCTGCCCTTCCCCTGCCTCGTTATCTTCTGCTGCCATTTCAGCGCAGCTCTTGTGGATAAGGACTCTAAGGTTCTTAAAATTATGCTTGAGAATATTTAGCCCTATGTGATCTTGTGGTGTGGCAACATAGACTAGTCCAGCAACGGCTCCACAGGTAATCAGAGGGCATTACAATTATTTTGGTAGACGATCTTTCAAGAAAACGCAACTGTGCAATTAACATGAGCCATTACCACTGACAGGATGATATGCCCAGCTCTGTAGGGCTTACCTGACCTTTCTGAACATGACAGAAGAAAACATTGAAGATTTTTTTCCTGAAACGCTACAATAATAGTTATAGAATCATAGAATGGTTTGGGTTGGAAGGGACCTTAAAGATCATCTAGTTCCAACATGGCCAAAATTAGGTTACTCGTGAATAGGCCTCATACAGAGCATTTTTCCTTTATTAAAGTTTTCCTTCCTGTTTCTTCATTGGAAACTTTCACCCAAAATACAAATTAAAGCCATCGGTTTAATTTGAAGTACAGTAACAGTGAAATACCCAAGATAAAATTCTGTTTTGGGTGTACCAACTCCTTTATATTAATAGATTACTTGTTGACATCTCTGTCAAATCTTGCAACTTGGTATTTCTTATTCTGAAGTGCTGTTAATCACATCAACATCATATAAATATATAAAAAGCGGAAATAAGCAAAGCAGTGAATCAACATGTAAGTTAAATAAGCTACATATTGACTGCAGAGTAATTTATTGGTGCCATACCTACCACCAGACAAATGAAGCTTTTCCACATTGCTTGTTCTGTGTATATGGGAGGTCCCACAGAGCACAAGAGAGAAAAAAATCATTTTTATAAAATTTTTTAATAAAATTAAAATTTTATAGTTTCTAACAGCATAATATAGAGCCTTGGACCTTCCAAGCTTTTTTTTTTTTATTAACTACTGCATTCAGGTTATAACTGGAATAGTGGATTGAGCAGAACCACAGAACCGTAGTGTTCTTCCCAACTACGTTTTTAAAAATAAACGAAATGCCCACTTGTGATTTTCAGAAGCAGTGTTCATCCATTGCTGGTCATATACCAAAGATAAAAAATTAGTAACCCAAGTCATGGAAGACTGGTAAAGTCTTAACCAACATACAAAGTTTGGACTAGCATTACCTGAACTAGGCCACATCTGTTACATCCAAACCCACACACAGGCAACACAGGGTCTGCCCCCAGTACTGACTTTGGAACCACGTCAGGTCCTTCCCCCTGGGAGCCTGCAGCCACCACTGAGGAGCCATCAGCGAGCATCAGTTCTGCTGCTGCAACCGCAGAGAAGGATGCAGCCTTGTATTTTGGTGTTGAATACACACATGGAGAGCATCAGCAGGGGTATGACTGCCTACAGCAGGAACCACTTACAGTTCTGGGCTGCATCTCAAGGGAGTTACAGGGGGACAAACTCATGCCCAGGAAGTGAAAATGGTTGGCAAGAGAAAGCACATACGAGGACAGACTGAAAGGGAACGTGACAGAAACGTGCAAAGATCACACATGTTGAGAAGCTTCGTGATGTTTCTACTCTTGGAGAACTGATAGTCACAAGAGGAAAAAATTTCCTTTAGAAAAGTACAACTTAACCCATAAAACTTACCATGTATCGATTACTAAGCACAATTAAAACCGTCTGCATGTTTATTATCAGGTATTCTATAATTAATCCACTGCAGACTTCTTGAAACTTGCAGTAGTAATTCTAGGCTACAAGAGACTTGAACAGAGCCCTGCTGTACTAAACTGACACTTATAAGTCTTTTAAAGATAGTGATTTAGGAGAAAAGGGTATTAAATTTATGCACTATGTCAACTTTTTTTTTTAACGTGTATGATACAAGCCTTTTGTATTTAACACAAATTGTGGCTGTGCCTAACATTTCTGTGTGAAGAAATTATTTTGGAGAGGAAAATACAAATGTTTGAGCTGTGTAACTAGAACAGCACTCTCAAGTACTGCAAGAATACAGCTACATTCAAAACACCACACTGAAATAACTGAAGATAAGGATTTGCTTTAGATGTTTATTAATCCAAGGAGATCTTCCATAATAGAAAAAACAGAGGCTTTAAATTTCCCAGCTCTTCCCTTAGAGTTGCATTATCCTTGAAAATGGAATGGATAAGTGCAAGTTCTATGAGGAAGATAAATTTTAAATTTGTCATAAGTGTATCACTGAAATTGATATATTGCATCACAAAATGCACTATCACCACCACCAACAATGCAAAATTGTTTTGCAATTTATATAAATACATTTCTTGGAGCAAAGGAAAGCAAAGTTCTAGATCCATTCTTAAAAAAAGATGCTCCTTGCTAACCAGTCTAGCAACACATAAAAGCACCCCTGAAGTAAGACTGCATTCTTCACACCAAGATAAAATTCTTCCCTTGACTTGTGACTTGAAAAATATAACTGATCCAGAAATGACAACGGCACTAAAAATCGATGATTTTCTCCTCATTTTTTTCCATCTGCTTTGTATGTAGAGCCTTCTCACTGCTGCTCTGTTGTATCTTCTGCTGAGAGGCAAAAGCATCTCATATGTCCTAGAAGGGTCTCTCATATTTTTTTGGGATGTGTAACGAGAGAAGCAGACACCCAACAAGCAGATATTCAGAAATGATTTATGTCGAACTGGACATTTTTCAAGGTCAGGGAGTGCACAGGGAAAGGCATGCTGTAATTATGTCTGTCACCTTTTTCTACAAAAATAAAACCTTGTCTAGAGATAATCTTGAGGGCAGAGCACACCTGCACGTGCTCGTGAGTTACACGCTTACAAAAAAAAAAAAAAACCAGTTCTGCTACACATACTTGGCCAGTCAGCTAAAGATTCAGAAGTACTACCACGGTTCTCGTACCACCACTACAATGGATACTCCAGTTCAAGGATTCTTTTGTTAGGCTTTTTCACATCAGGTGCCATATCCATCCTTTTAAGTCCACAATTTCCTTTTAAAGTATCCCTTTGGTATTCGGCTAGGGCAACACGGTACTACAGTCCTGGCTCAGTCTGTCACACTGGCGTTCTGTGCGCAGGGAACTGTATTTGCCACAGAAAGGCAGACCAGAGAGGGGTGACTGGAAAAGCCCATTCCACTGGCCCAGAGAAGCACCAGCAGTTGTGCAACAAATGGAAAGCAGAGCGTGGTGCTGGTCAGCTCGTCCAGAAAACCCCAAACCATGAATTCCTGCTACTCTGCTGATGCAAAAAAACACACCACACAAACCAATTTTCTGAAGACTGCATTTTGAGTATCATAATATATATATGTGCATTTCATTTTTACAGATATAAACTCAGTTTATTTTTAACCTGTATTTAAATTTTGGAGGCTTACATTAAATTAAGGTAGCTTGTTTAATATCAATTGTAACAGCAGGTGACATTTTTATATAAAAACAGCCAAAAGAAAAAAAAACAAACAAACATTTGATTTAAAAGACCTGACACCAATGATCTCAAGGCAAGATCAAAAACCTATGGATTTTTGCTTTTAGAAAAGAAAAAGGGGGCATTTAAGCCAACCCATTCACAGCATCTCCCTGCTGGCTTCTTCATACAGTGGTTTTGATAGTGGTCCCAGAGGGAACTGTATTTTGCCTCTTCTAGCTAAAATACTAGTTACTATAGCAACTTTGAAGGAAGAAAATTGTGGCTTCAAAAATGAAAGATTGGCAAAACTTCAAATACACTGTCTGGATCAGGCAGACAACAGCACACACTAATGCTGGGAGTGCAAAAAGAGGGGGAATTAAATGCAAGAGTAGTGCACCTGCACTACCACGTGCTGGAAAAAGAATATTTTGCAAAATTAGGGAAGAAAAATTGCATTCATAGATCATAGCCCAGATTAGTCAAATTAAATTGTTGTGTTTTTAATAGATTGCATATATAGATGTTTCATCCACACAATTCAATCGACTCTTAAGAGCAGAACTTCACATCTTATTTACCTGCTTTAGAGAAGATAACTTTTTCCTCAGTGCTTACAGTACACACTTGTATCCGAATTTCACCTTGTACACTGAGATCTTTAAGAAAAACAAAGGACACAGAGGGTGTTGCTATTTTTTTTTTAGCAGCAATGGAATATCACTAACCCCTTTTTACATAACCGAATTCAAGTTACAACCAGAGGTGACTGTGCCACAAAGTCACCAGGTACAAAACTGCTAGTTCATTTTAAATTAATAACTTGAAATTATTTTCCCCAATACATCCCTTATTTTTTATTTTTGTTTTTTATAAACAGCAAACATTTTGCTATTTTTGTACATAGGCTAGCAGGCTTGTTTCAATATGAAAGTGCTAATTCATTTACAGATTTATCAGTTATGTAGTGCTACATTAAGTGTCCAATATTCTACATATGAACAATCTTGATAAATGGAAATGATGAAGATTAAGTAAGGCTATCTGATTACCTTATCTTATTTACATTAAAAGAATAGACACCCAATAGGAAGGGAGAAAAGGGAAATAAATTGGGCAAATACTCATACCGCCACAGGTGTAAAAATTGTCTGCCTTCTAGCTTGTCCTGTAAATGAGACATTTTAAATAGTCCTGCAGCCCATGCCTATTTTTTTCCTCAGAAAAAGAAAAGCTGCCTTCATGACATCCCCTCTTGATTTCCGATTTCCAAAGTGTGTCATTTGAAGCTTTAAATTCAGATTCTTCCTATCTTCAAAAAAAAAAAAAAAAAAACCTCTGGTTTGCTTTCCAGTATTAGGTTGCATGATCAGGTCCCACTTCTGGGGCTTTTGTCCAATCTATTTATCAATTAGTTTAGAGTGAGTTGTGGATAACATGAACCAGTTCTGGAACCACTATTGGGAGGAACACAAGCTCTTCACTACAATCACACAGTAGCAGGAAAAGTGATAATTCAATTCATTCCTGGGGCAGGGCCTCCAAAATTAAATGAAGTTGGCACAACTGGAGCATTGAATTTGTATCCTCCATGCTTTTCAATCATTTTGGATTCTAAAACAAAACAAAGGACACAGAAGGAAGATATATTAGTGCATGTGTAGGGGAGAAGACAGATTAATATTTAGTGCCGAGTCTCTCAGAGGTACAAAGTTTAACCTGGGGTTACCCAAGAAAGTAATCAGCACCCACAAAATGGAAATGTGTCAGGCCCCAAGCAACAGATGGACTTATTTATTTTAATTTCTCAATATTGCTATAAGCTATGCTTAAATTAATGTATATTTTCAGAAGTCCACACATTAGCTTTTGGACGTATGTAATTTTCACATTTCAGAAATAGGACCTGAATGAATGCTGGACTTCTGAATTGCTAACAGGCACCCAATTCTTTCTGATTAATATTAATAGACATTTCAGTCAAATCAGTAACAGAAGACGTGTATAAAAAAAAAGCAGTACACAGATATCAGCTAAATTTTCTGTGTTCCTGTCTCAGTTCAACAATATAAGCAGAAATAGCCACTGAAGCACCAGAAACAGACTTTTTAGTATACACACATTTCTCCCCCACAACCAAGCAGATGATTTTGAGTTTAAGTTACTAGACCATATAATACAATTCGGAGAGAAAACTACAAAGTTTATCACTTTTCATTTTCAACCAAACTTTAAAATCTCTAGGCATCTGAGGTCCACGTATCCATAACTATAACTAACAGCGATAGTGAAGCTGTCTGGTTTTAGTAGCTACATATTCTGTCCTTTGAAGATTACTGTAGGACTGGTTTTTACAAGCTCTAACACATGGACAACTGAAAATTTGGTTGGTGAAGCACAGACAGAAATGTGTATTTCTATCTACCTTTACTACAATCTTAATAATGCAGAAGGTGATTTATATTCTTCCCAGCTCAAGATAACAACACTTATTAATGTCTTATTTCCAGTCTAAGTGCTTTCTGCTACCTCAAAATAGTTGCAATCTCTCTCTGGAAATACAGGACAGCTATCCAGAGGATCTGCATTTTGTCTCTGTTTCTTTGGAAACAGGACAGAAAAATGTTGCCATGACTGGTGGAGAACATGACCTGGGAAGCATTGCTTTGCTCCCTCTCAGCTCCACAGTGCACAGAAGACAAATCTCTTAGCTTATGGAAGTTCTTCTTAGCTATATTAATGAGATAATTATATTCCAGATTCTCCTAACAGGATGTCCCCATGTGTGACAGGCAGCCTAAATGGTGTATCAGTGTGCTCTGATAGTAGACAAGAGTTTCCTGTTGCTTAAGTTAAACATCAAAATCTGAACCTAACTTGCTCTATGAATAAGCAGCTAAAAAAAATTCTTTTTCATAAAATGCACAAGTAGTATATAATCTCATCAGTATGATTTCCAGTGCTTGACAGGGGTCACAGTGAAAGTGTATTTTATAACCATTAAAAGCAGACCATTCTGGACACTTAAAAGCTTTGTGAGGTAATTTATGCTGTTTTCTAACAAAAACTACTTATAAAGTATGTATTCTTACTACCAATCTCTTTATTGAAAGATTTCTGATTTCTGTTTTAAAATATCCTGTAGTAATTGCTCAGTAAGATGCAGAATATGAGACTGGACTGGTCACTCAAAATTCAGCCTTGACTTTAGAGAGTGATAGATACTGGCTTACTCTCAAACACCGGGGAAAACTGGGAAAAGAAAAAAAAACCCTGAAGATCTGCTGACTTCCTGTATTTTTAAATCTGTATTATCTGTATTGAAGACTAACAATCTAAAACGTTTAATAGGCTTAATAATGTAGCTTTACAGATGGATACTACTTCCATAATTTAGTATTTTCCCCCCCATAGAATCATTGTCTATCCCAGCTGGACTAGGTCACATCAGGAAATAATCTGTCAGCCACTTAATGTGTTTCTTACTATACCTAGAGCTCATCCACCTTCAGGTAATCAAATAAACTGTTTACAAATCCAAGCAATTATGGCAAATATGCTTCTACTTACTTGGCCACTTCATTAAGATGTCCCTATCATTCCTTACACCTGTGGTATGCCATGCAATTTGTGCATTGAGGCTATGTGACCTGATAATCTTACTGATTTCAACCATCTCTGGAGTGTAAAACAACCCTGCTTTGATGAAGACATTATCAGGCTTGAATTACAGGCGTTTTCTGTATTATGCTTCTTGAGCATGTAAACAGCTTTCAAACAGTGAAAGAAGCAATTAATGGTAAAAAGGGGGAAAAATACCATGTGCTGCCCGCCTCTGATCTGCCAGAGTTGCTATGTCCTGCAATTGTTTTCTTTGTTCTTCATTAAGACCCTGTGTCAAAGCTTGGTACCACACAGGGTTACGATTCTGAATTGCTGCAAGAGAAAGAAAACATAAGCAAAAGGAAACTGTTCATTAAAATGTTCTGTAACTCAAAGCTTACTAATTCACCACCATTTTAATCAGAACAGTAGTCTGTTAGGGCTACATAATTCAAGACATTTAAAAACACCAATACAACCTCTGACCTCTTTCCTCCCACATCAATTAATTCAAGCATCTCCCCTTGCTCTCAAAGTTTAATGTTGGCTTCCCCTTTCCAAAGAAAGAACTTGTTCAAAGCACATATTGGAAAGCCTATTTGGAAGCTTTCAACACATTCTAGTTTACAATGGTATACACTAAAATTAAGTTAAAATATAACTTGTTGGCCAGGAAAGGAAATAAGAGTTACTTACTCTGAAAAATTGTTTTAAATATCTGATATTCATCAATAGGGTTGTCTTCATCATCAATAATTGTGGAGTAGCCTTCCAAAGCAGTCTCTTCAGCATCATCTTCTTCCCAGTCTTCATCATCCCCATCTTCACCTGCCTGTTTTGCTAGAATTTCTAGATATTCTTGACCATCTTCATCAATGTCATCTTCATCACTCCCCAATTCCTCTGAGTTAAATATCACACACACAAAACATTTATCTCAATAATAACAACTCTTTAGGTAGACGGCTGATTATACAAAACAGGCAGTGGAAATGTTAACAGTACAGTGCAGCCTAGAAAGGAGGAAGCTCATTTAACTCCTCTCCTAGTGCCATGGTCTTCCCCCCAAGACACTCTTCCCTCACTTACACCAACTATGTACGTGGAAAATTTTACTGTCACAAAAACGTATACAGAAAAAAAATATATGTACAGATAGTTTGGAACAGCACTTGATAAAACTTTAAGCAAGGCAATATTTGTGCTCCAAAGAAAGTCTGTAATAATTTGATGAAAACACTTTTAAAGGCACATTCAAGAGGGCTGTTGAAAAGAATGCTTGAGAAATACAAAATGTAAATAGTATGAATTATGTATAATGGCAATAGTATGGAGAGTCCAAAACTCAACAGCACAGACCAAAAAGAAACTGGGCTTTAAGTAAATAGATGAAAACCAACAGATATTCCTTGGAGTGTGGAAAACTGTTCCAAACAATCACTCACAAAGACACCAGGCTGATGATGGAAAGATAAAAATAGGGTACAAAACTGAAAAACTCAAGCAGAGCTACAGGGAAAAGTGGAAGAAAGAAGTATGGGGAAGTTGTAGGTAATTTTGAAATTCATATAAAGAAGATGGCAAAAGATGTGAAAGTTTGTGAAATGACTGCATGAAGAAGCAAATCCATAAAGGCTGATGAAGTTGAGATTACATTTGTCTGTGGGTGGGGGGGAATCACAAGAACTGTCATTTTCAATACACAGCTAAACACTAGCAGCTCACGGGACAGTTTGTAATACAGAGTCCAAACTGTACAATGGATTAGGAGGATTCCTGCAAACTCCTTCTACTGACTCTTCCACCCCGCACTCAAATGGGAAACACACCCCAGTAATAATTCCTTTCAGCAATGACAGCATCCACATACAAAAGCTTCAAAGAGACTCAGCCTAGGAAGTTAGTTTTTAAGAGGGACTAGAAAGTAAGTCAGATATACTTGAAAGTCATTAGATGATGTCCGGTGTTCTACCCCTTACTAGATTTTTGGAATTAGAGAACTCTGAAGAATTCCACAGAAGAACTCAGAATCTCCATCAGAAAAAAATGAAAAATAGTAAGTCACAGCAATGTTCCAGTTTCCATACCTGTTTCCTCATCTTCTTCAGCTTCATCATCATCATCGCTGTCATTTTCATGCTCTGCATGACAGGCATATGCTCTTTTCAATCCATTAAATAAAAGGATAAAAGCTGGCAGGATCTGGCCAGCAACTTGATTTAAAACCTGTGGTATTTGCTCCAGATCAATAAGAGCACACAAACCAAGCACACACATCTTTCTATCATGAAGTCTGCAAAACAAGAGTAAAAACGTTGCAAAATTTGTTAGGATTTACAAGCAGGTAATACAGAAGTGTATCACAGAGAATAATCTTCAAAATTAGAAACACTTACCCCAAGAAACAGTCTACATCATTAAGCCACTGTGTTATGAAGTGATTAGTGACAGGCTCCACATTATTGGGAAAACGAAGATTTTCCAATGTATTTAATAGTAAATGAGGATTGTAATACAAAGCAGCTATGGCAACCTGGAGGCACATTGTTCGCAGTTCACTTGTTTTCACTTCTCTGGTCAATCTTTCTAACGCAGCTTCCACAAATAATGGTATGCACTGAAGAGTGAGAACCGTTACAAATTTAATGATCAGAAATAAATTTTTTAGTTCTGCATTCACACTAAAGTAGAGAAATGGCATAAAAAACCAGTCTGGCACATAAATACAGAAGGCATAAAATGGGAATAATTTTTAATTGCCAGCAGAAGTCATATACAAAGATGAAATGAAAGATGCCACTCAAAAAAATTAAAAATTGCTAGAGAAGATTTTCTTTCAAATAAATTAAAAATTCAAGTTTCCACAGACCATATCCACAAGTATTAAAAGCATGCAAAAAATGTTTAAACAGTTATTATACAGTGCTTGTCACGTACACTGTGGAAGCACACAAATTCATGTATTAAAAGCATGCAAAAAATGTTTAAACAGCTATTATACAGAAGCACACAAATTCATCTCTCGAATTCCAACTTCCATATGTCCCTAGTTCCTCTACAACATTAATTTGGATTCTAGGAAGTTCATTGTTCTTTATTACAAGGCTATTAACTTGACAGATTGAATAATTTTCGTGAAATATTCACTAGAACTTCAAACATAATTAATCAACTTTTAGAACCAAGATGCTCCTAAACCAGTACTCTATATTATAGATTCAAGAACACTCTTGAGTTTTGTGGTGTCCTAAATTCTGCAGACAAAGCGTGCAATAACTATCCCTGCAGTGCTGTTAGCTGGGTAACAGTGAAGTAGAAGACAGGATTATTAGTCACACTACACAAGCTTCTCGGAATGGAACTCATGCTAATACATAATCAATTCATATTTGAGAATAAAATACTTTTTAAAATATTAGTTTTAGCAACCAAAGTTGTTACCAACCTGATCAATGCCACGACCTTTACACTGAAGAATAATTACTTCTAACAGCTTTGCTGCATGACATTCTGCATCCTCTCCAGCAACTCCTGTAAGGACCTGAAAAATAACAATTACTGTTGATGATATCTCTTCAAAAAGTATTTTCTATATCCTGCTTTGCTTTGAAAAGCCGATATGAATTTACCCACTCCAGTGCAATGCTAACAAACATCCATCAGTGAAGCAGCCAAATCTAGAGCAATGGCTCAGTACCACAACTAGAGACTTGAAACGTTGCTGAATGTGGGCAAAACTAATCACCATGTACAAATACTCAATAACTCTATGGACACAGAGCTTACAACAGTAACTACGTAAGCATCAGCTGCCATTTTCCAAAATTCATTTATTTCCATTCAAAACCC